TTAGACACACACCTACTGACCATTTCATTACTGTCGCCTGCAGTACTCAGGACCATGCAGTACAGGAGTGTAGCCAGGAGCCTAGGCGTGGGGGAGGCGAGACCGTCTGGGTTTGTGTAAGTCCAAGACGTTTGCACGGTGACAAAATCTCCTAATGATGCATTTCTCAGAGAGTGTCTCTGTTGCTAAGTGATGTGTGACTGTTTATATCTGTGGCACCTTGTATGCATTGGGGGCCTGGGCTGAGGTTGTAGGTTCCCCCTAGGTGACCAGGAGTGTCGCAGGCAGTGAGGAGGGCCGTTCCCAGCATCTCTCCGGGTGTCATTTTTCATAGAGGAGACATTGCTCAGGAAGGTGAGCTCAGGCTAGCCCACAAGCCCTGCCCTTACTCCTTCACAGATCCAGGTAGCTGCAGGGGGATTCTAGAGGAGACTAGGTTCTGCCCACCAACAAGGGGCTTAGCCAGACACCCCACCCCTGGTCCACCGTAGGACCCACGTGGGATTCCGTCAGAATATTTTTCGGTTGAATGAATGCATGAGGGTGGGGAGACACATGTGTCGGATACTGGCTGGGTGACTTCATGTGTGTTAGTTGACACATTTTACAGCTGGGGAGACTGAGTCAGAGAGGCTGAGGGTCTTGGCTAAGATGCCCAGCAAAGAAGGCTTCATACCACATCTGACTCCCGAACTCCCTTGAGTGCTCCCCTCACCTGGAGCACCCGCCCCAGCCCCTGCTTCAGTGCTGGGGAGGAACACGGAGGGCCAGGGTGGGGGGATCAGGTATTGTCTTGGACCTCCTGTGTGCCAGAGCGCTTTGCCTGCACAATCTCATTTTAAGTGGATCTCCTTCCTGGTTTTCTGATCACAAAAGTGAGGCTTAGAGAGCTGATGAATTTGGGCGAAGTTTCCCAGCAAATAGTTGGGAGTGTCCCATGGTTTGATGCTGGCCTGACCTGGAGAGGACACTCACTTGCCGGGACAGGTTGGGGATGGGTGGCTTCGACCCGTCTTGGTGGGCTAGCCTGGGCTGTGATAACAGAGACATTGCTTTCCCACCAAAAAGAGCAGGGGGGTCTTTATAGGAGCAAGCAGGGCAGGGAGCTCCCCTTGGACCCCTGGGAAATGTGGAGCTAGATCACCAGCCCAGACCCTATGCTGCCTGCTCCAGCTTTTTCTTTCACCCCCTACTTTTTTTTTCTTTCTTTCTTTCTTTCTTTCTTTCTTTTTCTTTTTCTTTTTCTTGAGATGGAATCTTGCTCTGTCACCCAGGCAAGAGTGCAATGGCATCATCTTGGCTCACTGCAACCTCTGCCCCCTGGGTTCAAGCAATTCTCCTGCCTCAGCCTCCCGAGTAGCTGGGACTACAGGTGCCCACCACCACACCTGGCTGATTTTTGTATTTTTAGTAGAGACAGGGTTTCACCATGTTGGCCAGGCTGGTCTCAAACTCCTGACTTCAAGCAGTCCACCCACCTCGGCCTCCCAAAGTGCTGGGATTACAGGTGTGAGCCACCAGGCCCGGCCCAGCCTTTTTCTGACTGCGCGTGCCCCACCTGTGCAGTAGGAGGAGAGGAGAACCCCTTTATCTGCTGAGTGCTGATGATGTGCCAAGGAATTTGCTGCATGATCTCATGTGATGGCCCCAGCGACTCCCTGGAGCCCGTCCCTTGCTGGCACCACCCCGTCACTCGCTGGCTGCCTTTCCCTCAAGGCACGTATCGCTGTCTGAAATCACCGTGCCTCTTCACGTCTCTGTCTGCCTCCTGACCATGCAAAGCTTGTACGAGGGAAAGACCCTCTCTCCCTTGCCCACTTCTGTGTCCCCAACCCCTCAGACGGTGCATGGCTTCATGAGCTTCTCAAGAAATGCTTGGCAAATCATGGCAGAATGGGTTAACCTGATTTTCTCAAAAAGGGAATGGAGGCCTGCGGAGGGCAGGCCCGTCCCTCTATCACATTGCCAGGGCAGGATTGGAACCCCTCCCTGACAAGAGTCAGCTGGGACCTCATTCACTGACCAGCTTTGAGCCTGGAATTCCAGGTGTGCCTGTATCCCTGCAGGTTCACGCCACCCAAAGCAACTTCCAGTCCACACTTGTGGCTTTGGATCGGCTCAGAAAAAGTGTGTCCTGTGACTGCTCAAGGAATCTGGGCATTTAGCCCAGAAAAGAGTGTGTTTCCTGGCTTCCTGAGAACTGGGGCCCACCCTGCCCCCAGCCTGGGCGTGCAGAACGGGAGGGAGGGGAGTTGAAATCAGGCCCTGGAAGGCTACGGCGTCGGACCTTATCATCCAAGTGAGGCTTGCTGCTCACGCCGAGACTGTCCGGCCGAGCACTCCAGGAGACGGTAACCCTCAGAGACGGCAGCAGCGCCTGGACTCGCTGGAGAAGGGACATTCCTCACGCTCATGCGCGTGTTTCCCCAGGCTGCTGTCCCGGCCCTGGGTACGGTGGGGCAGACAGGTGTGATGTGCTCTGGGCACGAGGTGACCAGTGTCCATTGGGTCATCAGGCCTCCAGGACCACGTGTTTGGAAAGCTGTTCCTGGAGCGCCAGGCATCTGGCCCCTCACTCTGTGGCCCGGCATGAGTTTATAGAGGGACCCTGCCGAGAGCTGGGGTCCTCGGCCTTGATGTCTGCACATTGTGCATAATTGCACGCTTTGCTTTTGTCACTTTTTTTCTTTTCCTTTTTTGTTTTTTTTTTTTTTGAGACAAGGCCTTGCTCTGTTGCCCAGGCAACAGTGGCGTGATCTCGGCTCACTACGGCCTTGGCTTCCTGGGCTCAAGCGGTCCTCCCACCTCAGCCTCCTGAGTAGCTGGTATTACAGTCACCTGCCACCACAGCCAGCTAATTTTTACATTTTTTGTAGAGATGGGGTTTCACCATGTTGGCCAGGCTGGTCTTGAACCCCTGACCTCAGGTGACCCACCCACCTCAGCCTCACAAAGCCCTGGGATTATAGGTGTGAGCTACCGCACCCAGCCTGCTTTGTTTTTCTTGAGAAGGGTCAGAGCTTTCCTGCTGCCTCTCCCATTCTTCAACTATTTTCTTCTGCACCACGGGGCTGCCTCGTGGACTGGCCTGGGGGCCTCCTCCCTCAGACTGGGATATCGCTCAGTACTCAGAGGGGGTTCACTGGGATTACCCTTACAGTTTTCGGAATACACTGGTTACATTTCTGAGAGGGAGCCTCCCTTTTTGTACTCGTAGGAGAGTGGAGGAGGCCAGCCACGCATCTCCTCAGCCAGGATCGAAAGTCACCTAGCACAGGGGCCTGAGTCCACTGGTTCCCGAATCCCAGACCCAGGCCAGGCCTAGGGCCATGTGAATTCCTCCACAGACCCACGGTGAAATCAGAAAATGAAGGCCTGCCTTGGCATAGCTACTTTCTCTGTCAGCTGTCCTTTCTTTTCTTTTTTTTTTTTTTTTTTTGAGATGGAGTCTCGCTTTGTTGCTCAGGCTGGAGTGCAGTGACGTGATCCCGGCTCACTGCAGCTTCCACCTCCAGGGTTCAAGCGATTCTCCTGCCTCAGCCTCCTGAGTAGCTGGGATTACAGGTACACCCTGCCATACCCAGCTAATTTTGTATTTTAGTAGAGCCAGGAATTTGATCTCAAACTCTCAGCCTCAGGTGACCCACCCACCTCTGTGCCCAGTCTATCCTTCCTTTTATGATAGATGGGATAATAGGTGGATGTTCTATTTTAGATGCCAGAACATGCTGGCAACCTATGTCTGTCTTCAGAACGTGGGAGAAGCTGTCCAGGCCTGGCACACTCCCAGGTCTGGGAGCCATTGATGTGCTTCTGCACCCCAGACACAGAAGGGGAGCCCAGGGGAGACGTCGATACTTGGGGAACTTCCAAGTCCTGGCCACACCGTGGCCCCTGGCCCTGCCCTGGTGTGTGGTGGGATGTGTTGGTTTGCTAGGGATATTACAACAAATTACTGCAAACTGGGTGCTTGAAAACAATAGAAATTCATTCTCTCATGGTCCTGGAGGCCCGACGCCTGAAATAGGCTAGCGGCAGGCTTGCTTTCCATGGAGGCTCTCACGAGGCACCTGCCATGCCTCTTTCTGGCTTCTGCCAGGGCCTGGCCACCCTCCGCGTTCCGCATTCTGTGGCTTGTCTACACATCCCTCCAGGGCTCGCCTCTGTCACCACACGGCCTTCTTCCTTGTGCGTCTCTGTGCCCATCCCTCGTAGAAAGACGCCCATCCTGGAATTTGCGCCACCCTAATCCCACGTGACCTCCACTTAACTTGATTAGTATCTGCAAGACTCCAAGTAAGGACCTGGGCCCCAGTTCTAGATAGATAAGCATTTTGGGGAGACATTACTCAGGGGGCGTAAGGGATGAGGAGGGCAGATCCAGGGAGCCCTCCCTAGTTCCCGGGAGGAGACAGAAGGCCAGGGAGCAGAGTCTGGCCGGGGAGCTGTCACCACAGTGAGGCCTAGGCCAGGGCCACAGGGGCTGGGTCAGACACCCCACTTCAGGAGCACAGGGGAGGGCTGAGGTCCCTCCGACTCTCTGCATCCCAGATTCGTTCCTACACTTTCATACAGCCCCCAAAGCTGAGTCCCAACTAGATTTGGGTCTTCAGCATGATGTTTTTTAAACACAGCCTTGTAGCATTTAGTCCTTTGACGGTACCAGCCAGGACCACTGAGGGCTGAGAGCATCTCAGCACCCAGCACAGGCCGCCAGCCCTGGCTTTGCTCTTTCGGGTTGAGAGCGGCCCCTCCCAGTAATGACAGGGCTGCGCCATTCCCGGCAGCGCCCCCCGGCACAACCTCCCCCGCTCTGTGGACAAAGGGCAGCCTGTGGGGCAGGAAGGAGGGAATCCAGCCTCCCTTGCTTCCCCAGGGGCCCCTATCTGTTTTGGCAAAGGCCCTGTGGTCAGACGTTTCCGCCCTGAAAACTCCCTGCCAAGTGATCTCAAGCAGAGGCGTCCCAGCGTCCCCCGTGAACCCTGCTTCTCTCCTGGGAAGTAGGAGAGACAGTTCTAGCCTTGTCCATCTCCGGAAGGCTGGGGACGACAAGGCGTACCCTTCCCGTGCCTAGCCCAGGGCCTGGCGCATAGTAGGTGCTCAGTAAATACCGAATGAGTGAGAGGATCTTGGAACCCGGAATGTAACCTTCATGCCACTCGTGCAAAGCCTCAGCAGGGCCTCTTGAGAAGGAGATTCTATAAGCGTTTTTGCCCCCCAGTCCCCATCCTGAGAACACAGCCGAGACGGCTGGGCAGGAGTGGGGGAGTTGAGTGTGTGCATGTAGCACTGGACAGAGGACAGATGCTGCTACGATGTATCTCAGGCATTGACCGGTTGCATGACCTGGTGAGTAAAACCTACCTAGACTTGGTACTGTGGGAGGGAGAGAAGTGTGCAGGGAGTCCTGGAAGGGAGCCTGGAGAGCTGGGTGCCGGCCTGGCTCTACACCCCTTACCAGCCATGTGCAGTTGTGGGGGTGGCCTGTGGATCCTGCTTCCTGAGCCTCCCCTCTGCAGCCCGGATGCCACCTCTGGAATCCAGGCCTCTCTCCCACGACTCGCACAGGGCTTGCCTTGCATCCAGGCCTTTGCTTGCGCTGTGCCTCTGCCTGGAGCTCCCTGTCCCCATTCCTCCCCTCAGAGCGGCTTCCTGTTCTAAGGAAAAACCCTTTGCCTCAGGTAGACTGCACACACGTTTCCCTGTGTTTCCATACCCTGCGCTGCAAAGCAGCGGGCATACTGGTTACAGTTTCTGAGACACCCAAGAGCCCCATTGAGGATGGAGATTGGTCCCCCCTTGCCTGGCACAAGGATGGCGCCCAGCCCTTGTTTGTCCGATGAATGGGCAAATAATGGAATGTCCGGAGGCATGTCACGCCTCTGCTGTTTGCCTTGGTTTCCCCATCTTTAAAATACTGGATGAAAGCCAGGCACGGTGGCTCATGCCTGTAATTCCAGCACTTTGAGAGGCCGAGGCGGGAGGATCACCTGAGGTTGGGGTTGGGAGTTCGAGACCAGCCTGTCCAACATGTTGGAACCCCATCTCTACTAAAAATACGGAAGTCAGCTGGGTGTGGTGCTGTACGTCTGTAATCCCAGCTACTCAGGAGGCTGAGGCAGGAGAATCAAACTAGGGACGCGGAGGTTGCAGTGAGCCGAGATGGTGCCACTGTGCTCCAGCCTGGGCGACAGAGCAAGACCCTGTCTTAAAAATAAATAAATAAATATACTGGTTGTGGGCTAGCGGAGTCCCTAGGGATCTGGTGAAGTATGAGGTCTCAAGTGAGTGGAGCTGGGTCTTCCCTGCTCCCAGGAATAGAATGGGAGTGTGGCGGCCAGCACACAGTTTGTTTAATGATTATCCAATGCTGATGCAAAAATATGAACAAAGCTCTGGGGATTTTCTGGGCGTTCAGCACAAAATTCCCAGTTAATGGGTTCCAGTGTCTGAAAAGGCAGGACTGACACTGTCTCTGTGGAGTTGTTGTGACTGCAGCTGGGTTCTGTCCTTCCACACCTGTCCCCTGTGGGAATTCTCCCAACACCTGTGGAGGGAAGAATGTGTGTGTGTGGGGGGGGGGGGTCCGAGACCACATGCACCGCCTGGCGGAACTTTCTCTGCTCTTGCGTGTCTGGCGGGATCTCCTCTTCATAACACAGAATCTGCCGAGATTCGTCCCCAACTCCCTACACTCCAGGCCGACACCCGCGTTCAAGCCCCGTGCCTCTGCTGTCTCCCACGTCTTCAAATTTGCACCACTCTGACCCTCAGTTTCCTCATCTGCAAAATGAAGGCAGGAATCCCCAGCTCATGGGGCGAGCCGGTGGACCCAGATACGTGGTACAGTGGGTGCCACGGATTAGCAGCACATGATTTCGTGGCTCTTCTTAGCATGAGTATTTCTTCCTTTAGAGTGCGGAGCAAAACAGATCAACAGATGAAGCCGAAAGATGTCTGTTGTCTGAAGAATTTTGTTTTGGAAGGCAAGCCCAGGCTTTGGGTCCACCGTATTCCCTGAGGCACAGCCTGGTTGAACGTCGAAACGTATTTTACAGACTTGGTGACCACTCAAGCCTTTGAGCCCTCCACGCGGATGCTCTGAGGTCAGGCTTTTGGGGAAGCCCTCACACGGCTGGGCTGCTTGTCGCATCGGTAGCACGGTTTCCACAGAGCAGGCTCTGTTTGGCTATGAATAGATGTTTTTCTCACTCTTTTCTTGGATGCCTGAATGGCAGGCTCCCTCCTGCAGTCCCAGAGGCCGACCTGCATGTAAAACTCCACTGGACGTCAGAGTGGGGTCGTCTGTTCCTGCTTGGACTTGAGGCTCTCAGCAAGACTCAAAGAGCTGGGTCGATGGCCGCCGTGACCCAGGGAGCCTCCCGAGGGTCTCCTGGGCTGTAGTTTCTAAAGGCTACCGAGTGAACTGAAGAAATCGGAGTTCACAGAAAAGGCAGCAGATCGGAGCCATAGCCGACATGGAGCGGGATGGTGCAGGATCTCCAAACACAGGCCCGCTGGCTCCGTGGCATCCAAGCCGCGGATGCAAAGCCCGTTAGGACAGGAAGGGCACGAGACAGCCGCCAGGGCCCGCCGCAGGCGGGAGGGCCGGGCCACCAGCAAGTAGGAGTGTGGGTTACAGAGCTGCACAGCCTGGATTCAGATCCCAGTTTTTCCACCTCTGTTGGGCAGCGTACTTTCGGCCTCAGTTTTCCCCTTCTATAAAATGGAGATAGTAATTCACCTGTCTCAGTAGGCTGTTACGAGGATTAAAGTTAAGTCAACATCACTTAAGTGCATAGATCAATGCTTGGTACACAGTGAACAAATACAGATAAACCGAAGCCCAGAGAGAGCGAGGGACTTCCCTGTGGTCACTCAGCAAGTCACTGGGGCAGCCAAGGCTGAAACTCATGACTCCTAGTCTCGTGGACATTTCCCCCCTCCCCGCCCTCCCGCTCAGTCAGACTTTTTCAACGCTGCCTTTTGCAAAGGAAATCGCGTGACCCTTCAGCCCACAAGAATTCCGACTGCACAGAATGTCTGAAACCTCTTTGGGCTGGCTGGGGGCCTTGCTGCAGTTCTATTCAGCTGTTAGTTCTTTTTTTTCCCCCTCTCTTTCTTTTAAAGCTCTGTAGGATCCTCCTTTTCCGTCTCCACAAATAGAAAAATTAACCTCTTGACAAAGGAGTTGGAAGACTTCAGTCCCCGCTGTGTGTCCCTGAACCAATCCCCCAGCCTCAGGTTCCCCGGCTGTGAAATGAGAAGGTATCCCCTGTTGACAGGGAGGTGACCCCACCTGTCAGTCTGTGATTGCCACAGAGACAAGCCATTGGAGAGGTGCCACCCCAGATGAAGGCCGGGAGGGTGCTGATTAAACAAAATCTGGTGACACATCCTTCTAAGAAGCGAGGTGAAACCCACCAGAGATGCTGCGTGCGTCCGCCCACCCCGTCATGTCAAAGGTGGTTTGAGTCATCAGAGTGGCCTGTGCTTTTCTCACTCTCCTGTTTCCTCGCAGTGCTCCTGAGCCAGTCGGGGCTAAGGCCTGGGGGCCAGTCATGTCCCGTCTGCAGGCCCCAGGGCATCAGACCTGAGGGGCCTGGTCACCTCCTGATTGTTGCAGGGTGCCCCAGACACGAGCTCCGGAGGCTGCTAGCCTAGGGTGTGAATCTGTCTCCAAAGCTGCTGACACCGGGGGAGGGACTTCCCCTCTCTGAGATTTGGTTTTCTCATCTGTGAAATGGGTACATGAGCCCTGCCTGGCAGGGTGAGATGAGGTTCACAAGCCCTACCCTACTTCACTGCCTTCTTCCTTCCTGCCCAAGATGCCCCCTGATTACCTGGGATCCAGACAGGGCACAGCAGATGGTGATGTGTCCAAGTCCTCCCGGGCTGCAGGGGACAGAGGGACAGCTGGCCACGCTAGGAAGCCTGGAGTCAGACCCTCGGACTTCAGGGTCAGGCGCGTCCAGGGTGCAGCCTTCTTGGGCCAGTGATGGGGATCCCTAGAGGAAAGACCTAGGGTCCAGGAGGTCACGGAGACGAGACTTGAACCCAGGACTGGGGTCTGGACAACCCCCAGCCCCCAGGTCCTGCTGACCTTTGTGCAGGCTCACTTTCAGGTCACCCTGGCACCAGCAGGGGCCAGCCTCTTTGGGCCTGGGAATTCAGAGATGGGTGCCAAGGCGGGCCTGGGGCACGACGGGGCAGATGTGAGGCCAAGCCCCACCTTTGTACCCCCGGTAGGGGCCTTGGGCAAGTCACGGCCACTTCTGAGCCCCCCATCTCCCCATCTCAGACATAAACCTCATTCCCACTCTTCCCACCCACCTTTCAAGGTTGTCATGAGGCTCCCGACAATAGTGTGGACAAAAGTCCCTCTGTATACCATCAAGAACTGCCCAGAAGCCAGGCGCGGTGGCTCACGGCTGTAATCCCAGCACTTTGGGAGGCTGAGGTGTGTGGATCACCTGAGGTCAGGAGTCTGAGACCAACCTGGCAACACGGTGAAACCCCATCTTTGCTAAAAATACAAAAATTAGCTGAGTGTGGTGGTGTGCACCTATAATCCCAGATACTTGGGAGACTGAGGCAGAAGCATCGCATGAACCTCGGAGGTGGAGGTTGCGGTGAGCCAAGATCACACCATTGCATTCCAGCTTGGGTGACAGAGTGAGACTGTCTCAAAAAAAAAAAAAAAAAAAACCTGCCCAGAAGAAATGTGTCATGTCACCCTCTGGGGCATTTCTGTATCCGGGTCACTGAGGCAGAGTCTGGTATGAAGTAGGTGCCCAGTAAGTGTTGAATGAATGAATGATGAAGGTTGCCTGTTCCTGAGCGTCACCCAGGGAACATTCCATAAGATGTTCTCATCTTCACAGGAACCCCAGGGGCTTAGGTATGGCCCGTTTTACAGATAAGAAAGCTGAGGCTCAGGAAGCAAAATTTCTTACTGAAGGCCACACTGCAGGTGGCTCAGGAAGTCCAGATTCACACCGATTCTTGAGCCCGGGTCCTTTCAGGTGCTCAGGTGCCCACCGGTTATTGCTTCCCTGGGGCACTCTGATGAGTGTTCAACAAACAGTTCCAGGCTGAGGGGGGTTTGTAAACACCCCTGCTGTCTAGCATTTGTCAGTTCTCATGGTGGGTGTAAATATTCCCACCATGGCTGATTTTAAGCACCCAGCGTGATATCAGCTGTCTCACAAAATCCCTTCAGATGTAACAAGCAGCCCCCACGGCTTAGCGCACCCCCACACCCCTCTCTTTTGCACAGCTCCTTGCTCACCGGAGAACAGCCACAGAGTTAGCATCCCTGGGGGCTGAAACGGCAGACCGGAACTAAG